ACAGACCTCTAGTCAATTACCTCATCCCTGCATCCCTTCCCACCCCTCCATCAACACACATGTGCCACCAAATATGTGCCATCAATAACGCCATACCATACCTCTCTACTCGCACTCCCTTTCCATTCAATTGCCATATAAATAGTGCTAAACATATGCACATAATTGATGGCATATAATGTATGGTCTCTACAGCGAAGCCAACTCTCAATACATAAACAAATAGTTTTTGATGACTTTTAATTGAATTAGTGTTTTGCAAATGCATTCAATTTAGTGATTGTGAGGCAAACCATTCACTCAAATAATCTGTTCAATGAATCACTGATTCACTGATTGTGTGCCAATTGAGTCGATAGTTGTGTGAATTGAGGGAAATGTGGAAAACAGTGTTTCGCTCCTCAACTGTCAGATGCGGTCAGTTTTGGCTCTCAAGACAATCCATCACCAAATTGAGACCAATTCAGGTGATTATCAGCCATTCATATGATTGCCATTATATACAGACATTTGTCTGTTTGTTGTATTTGTCATTCAATGCATTGAAATCAATGAATCCTTATGTGACATGTGTTTGACATGAATGACAAATAACCATAAATGTGATAAAAACTACAAATAAATTGTTTGTATTTTTAAAATGTATTCATTGGTTATGATTGAACTGATCCACAGATGCGGCGATTATGTGATATTCCTGGCAATGGAGTGGAGAATAAGATATTATTTCGATTCCAAAACGGATTCTTTAAGTTTGAATTGAATCAAAACCATTACATTGTCTCTTATTGGACACCATTGCGGGCATTGATACAAGCGATGGACAGTACGACGGAAGTGCCCAAAGAGATGACGAAAGTGGTGGACGAGACCCAGAGAGTGGNTTATTTCGATTCCAAAACGGATTCTTTAAGTTTGAATTGAATCAAAACCATTACATTGTCTCTTATTGGACACCATTGCGGGCATTGATACAAGCGATGGACAGTACGACGGAAGTGCCCAAAGAGATGACGAAAGTGGTGGACGAGACCCAGAGAGTGGCCTATTCCGGGTCCACACCCGTCGGCTTTGTCTTCTCTAATCTGGTGGACCTGTCTTTCAAACACCCGTCGCTCGGCTTCTGTCACATCCATTTCGACGGCAATAACGAAGAGCTCATCAAATGGAAGGACAGACTGGAATCGGAACTACAGTACGGCTCCGACCCCTCCCTCACCAAAGAGAAGTCACTGGAAGACCACGAACTCTCGGTATTTGTGCCCATATTTGACGCAATTATTGTATCATTTTTCTAACGATTCAATCAAATGACCAGTTCTTAGAGCACCAGAAGAATAGCATTAAAGTGATGTTCAATCCATTGCTGAAAGAGTACCAGTCGTTGGTGTCATTGGCGCGAACCGATGCGCACCGGAAGTTCAAATGGGGCGGACTTTTCCTGCTGTCGGCCCAACTGGGGTTTGTGGCCCGACTCACGTGGTTTGAGTACTCGTGGGATATCATGGAACCCATCACATGGATGTTGACCTATGCAATGATGGTCGGGTAGGTCTATACTCTCTCTCTCTCTCTCTCTCTCTCTCTCTCTCTCTCATTCACTTGTTATCATTAAATGAAATCTAATTCTTTATAAACAAATTTGAAGCGTTTATTATAATTACAGTCATTATAATCATTACATATCTCCTATTCTATAGTTAGTCCCAAAATAATTGTTTAAACATTTCCTTTAGTGGAAGCGCTTATAAAAATAAATGCAAACATAGTGTACGAAAATTATTTGGCATTTATTTATTTATTGTTTATTTAGTTTTGTATTTATTTAATAATTAGTTTATGAGATTTCTTTTAAATACACTGTATTTTCTATGTAATTGATTATAAAGTCATTTGATATTAGCGTTTATTAGAAAAGAAAATTGTTAACAGACTATTAGTGAGATAAACCTAATAACTGCTACTAAAACATGTTATGCTCACTGACTGCCCACTCATTGCATGATTTTCAGATCCCATTCGCAAAGTAAAGTATAGTAAATTGTAGAGAATAGAAATTAAGTTATTTTATAAAAAAACAAATAGAAAATAGTCTGAAAATAAGAATACAAATATTACAACAAAAATTTTCATAAAATTTAGTATAAATTAACAATTGTTTTAAAATGTCAGATATTTCTATATGATTTATTATTAAGATATAAAATAGATTACTTTTATGCAAATATATTTAATTTGGAGAATAATTTTCTCATTTAGTACAGTATAATACTGTACATTCAATAATGTAATTGTTATGAATATACACGTAAAGATCATTCAAATGATTAATATGTTTTGAATGTAATATTCTTTCTGATAATTACTCTCTCCTATGAGAACTTATTTTGACAATAATTTTTACTTTAATTGCAATTAATTTATAAGCGCTTGTCTCACGATATTTTCAATTAGTTTCTAATATTTAAACATATTTTTAGTCTGGTATTCATTAGTATTTATAAATATGTGTCATAAGACTTGTCATAATTTTTGATGAGAAGTGAAAATTCTGTGAATTTGTCGTTAAACCCGTTCCCATACAAATTATTGCAGATATTTTTCATTAAAATAGTTATTTGCATTTAATTTAATATATAAATATAGATATTAATAGTTATTGACTGGACAGAGTTATTGACTGAATGGTTTAAATATTAATTATCGGTTTATATGATTATGATATTAATGACTCAATTAAATGTATTGCAGAACTTTTGCCTATTATATCGTGACATCTCAAGAATATTTGGTTCCCTCTGTTGAGAGAAGACTAACGATTAATAAATTCTGGAAATTAGCGAACAGCAGAAACTTCGATGTCTCGAGGTTTAGATCTTTAAGGCAACAAATCAAGCAATTGGACGAAAAAATCCTCAAAATCAAGACTTTGCAATAAGACTAACGATTAATAAATTCTGGAAATTAGCGAACAGCAGAAACTTCGATGTCTCGAGGTTTAGATCTTTAAGGCAACAAATCAAGCAATTGGACGAAAAAATCCTCAAAATCAAGACTTTGCAATGAAGTAGCCTTTGTGTGATCAACACTATATGATTTGAGCTTTTCACGTTTAGTCACTGTTCTGTTTGATTTGTTTTTATAGCATATTGTCACCAATTATTTTTATTAAACTTGATTTGAATGATATATGGATTGAAAGTCTGACAGCCCATTCAATAAACACTTACTTCCAATTACCGTCAGTTATTATTTATTACAATTAAATTTGAACAATTCATTTATCAAGTATTTATTAACATTGAACGAGTATTGAATTATAACGAATTATAAAATTCAATTCAATGTCATTTTTGTTTGTTGTTTTAAATTTTATTGCATTGTTTGTTTTATGTTTTTATATCAAATATCTCAATATAGGATTTTAAATATTAAATAAAGTTAATTTTATTTATTTTAAAATAAGTGTATATAATTTGATATATTGTTTCACTGAAGTGTTAAATTGTATACCAAAAATACATACAGTAACTACTTATTAATTTATTCTAATATTATTTTTGCAAATTGTAATTAATTTTTCCCCATAAAAGATTAATGTTTATTATAAAAGTCACAAAATTTTAATTAAATTCTAAAATATTAATTGATTTCCTAATTTATATTATTTAAATAAACTCTTTGTTCACAACACAATGATATTTATAATTATATTTGCAATACAAATAGCAAATATTTGCTATTATTATTTCAATGAACATCACGTTTGAAAATGAATTTTTAAAAATATTTTATTAATAGTTATGTGAATAAAATAAATCAATAGATAACACCTAAAATACTGTATAATGTTTAGTATCAAATGTTTTAAAACTTTAGTTTAATTTAGTTAACAAATTAAATTAAGGCTTCATTTAAATATTCAGTGATTTTGTCGACAATAATATCCCAAAGAAATACATTTTTCACAGAGATGTTGTGGGTGCTCTTTGCTCTGATCGCTCACATCCAGACCATCCGGTTTATCCAACGGCCGCTTCAATACAATTCAATATATTATTAATTTTTATAAAATTACAAGAATTTTAGACTATTTTTATAAATATAAACATTAACAATTTATTTAGTACCTAATTCCTACTATTAATTCCTACGTTTTTAGGCGAGTAAATAAACAATGGATAGCATAAAGCCATTTAAAAGCCACATTTCAATTGAATGATTAAATTTTAGTTTGAATTTATGAATATTTGTGATTAAATACTTGTTTGTGTGGGTAAACCATAACATGACATTTAATGCACTGTTGCCCAGAATTGGCCCAACTATTGCCAGACATCCACTTTCTTTTACATTTAGAGCACTTATATTCACCAAAACAACGCTTTCTCCCCTGATATGGAGTCAAACCTATTACATAAATATAAGTTTTGTTAATATTATCAATTTTCTTTAAAACATTATTTATTATTATACTGTATATTCTAAATAAAGAATTCCTTATAATACAAATATTTTGTTTACTGTATCAATATATTTATAACAATATATTAATATTTTACGCAATGAACAGTTTAATTTCAACTGACTTATTACCTAAATATGTTACAATATTTCATTAACCTTGATAATTTCAGTGAAGTCAAATAATTCTTTTAAATACTAATTTTTATAAAAACTAAAAATTTTCTTATTTACTATCTACAGTAGTTATCACCACACTAAGCTAATTCACAAACTTATTTTATAAACAATGTTACAATTTTAGAGTGAATTTTCAAAAAATTCTGTCTAACTTAAATATTTCGAAATAGTTCTCTGATACGGTCCTTAATGTGTATGAATAGTTTTTTAATGTTAATTTTTAATATAAAAATATTTTATTTTTAGCAATTAATAATTTATTTATAACATTAATCAAATGTGATAAAAACTAAACATTTTATGCAAATACTTCAGTTGAGATTATTTAATAATTGAATTTATATCAACTATATAAATATTATTATATTTATTTTATTATTAAAGTATTGTATAAGAAAATAAAAATGACGTTCAATGGTGTGATTAAATATATGAATAAATCAACCCTTAATTAATGTGAAATATAAAATTAAATTGTCGTTTGATATTAAATGTTTAAATAAATTGTCTATGGTCTTGTGCTATAAAAAGTGCAACTCTTTTGCAACAATTTTGTTAATTATTCTATTAATAGTATTTAGTCTTAAGTCTTATGAGAAACAAAATATCTAACAATTTGTAACAATATCCGACAGGAATGGCATTCTTTGAGTATTTTGACTATAAAGCTATTCTTTTCAAGAATAAAAAAATTATATTAAACTTTTGATACTAGCACAAAATATTATTGACTATGAATTAATCAAATTTGGGATAATTAAGAAGCCATGACTATTCCTGAAAAGTTTAAAAATTCTTAAGACTAACAAAATTCTTGAGAAATTCATAAGGCGTGAAAGTATTTACTCATTACAGTATATTCATAAAATAATTTTCTCATTGAAAGCATTTCATTTGACAAATAATTAATGCTATAATTATATAGCAATTACATAGAAGAAAGTTTTTGAATATCTCAGACATACCTTCTTTTGGCAAAGAGTTTGTACTTGATGTTATTGTCGACAACTTTTCATTTTGATTTGTAGCTCCCATTTGATTATATTGTGACAAATATTGCGGTATTATGTGTTGACTTTTATTACTGTCCGGATAATTAGTTGACAAACAATTGAAAGAATTGCATAGGTTCTCTATCATAGTTTGATAGCACTGATAAATAAAAATAACAATTTAAATTAAAAAAAAGTTATTGAAAAAGATTGGCAATCAATAAGTTTGAAAATATGTTTGAATCACTTACGGTTACTTCATTGGAATATTGTGTAGGATTTGTATAAAGCATTTGATTTATTGGATTATAATTCGTCGACTCCTCTATTGAAAACATTTCGTTCACTTTGTATTCACTCTTCTTTTAATACTGAATACTCGAACAAACGGTTAGGAAATGAGAAATCATATGAAAAAGTGTTTTAACAGACGATATGTGAGTTATTTATAGTGATAGTGTCGCGCAAATTATTTGTTCCTTTCCTTGAATATAAGCCAAGTTTAATGCATTTTGAATTCACACCATTCATACACACCTTTGTCTTCACAAAACTATAGTCATCCAGAGTTTGGCTCTTAAGGGCTCCTTTCAAGCCGTTTCGCATACAATGCTTTTCATCAAATGTTTATTTTTAACACTATTTTCAACCCCTTTTGCTTCTTTGC